TTTGTGTGTCTTCCCCCCACCTACGGACCTAATTAGTTAACCCATGACCAGAACCGTCGGTCTCCAAAAATCTGGCATGCGGTGAAGACTCGGATTGCATTAACCGCGCGACCAAGATCGAATGCATGGGCGATTGTGGATGTGGGCCAGAGTGTCAGAACCAACGATTCCAGCGAAGGGAATATGCTCCGGTGGCGGTGATCAAAACGGAAAAGAAAGGGTTCGGTCTCCGGGCGGAGGCTGACCTGCGACCGCACCAATTCATCTTTGAGTATGTGGGCGAAGTCATCAACGAGGGCCAATTTCGGCGCCGCATGAGACAGTATGACGAAGAGGGAATTAAGCACTTTTACTTCATGTCCCTCAGCAAGGGCGAATTTGTCGATGCGACCAAAAAGGGTAATCTGGGCCGCTTTTGCAACCATTCGTGCAATCCCAATTGTTATGTCGACAAGTGGGTCGTTGGTGAGAAACTTCGCATGGGAATTTTTGCTGAACGACACATTCAAGCTGGGGAGGAACTTGTTTTCAACTACAATGTCGACCGCTATGGGGCAGATCCGCAACCCTGTTACTGCGGCGAGCCTAACTGTACCGGCTTCATCGGAGGTAGAACTCAAACGGAGCGGGCCACAAAGTTGTCGAATGCTACCATCGAAGCCTTAGGTATTGACGATGCAGACGGCTGGGACACCGCCGTTGCGAAGCGGCCACGCAAGAAGAAGACGGGAGAGGACGATGAAGAATATGTGGACAGTGTGCAGCCCAAGTCCTTGGAGGAGAATGGCGTGACCAAGGTCATGGCGGCGCTCATGCAGTGCAAGGAGAAATGGATTGCGGTCAAGCTCCTGGGACGAATTCAGCGCTGTGATGATGAGCGAGTCCGGAATCGGGTGGTGAAAATGCATGGATACCAGATTCTGAACTCCCAGCTGGGCATGTGGAAGGAGGATCACAACGTCGTTTTACAGATTCTCGACATTCTCGACAAGTTTCCTCGTCTGACGCGGAACAAGATCATCGACTCCAAGATCGAGTCTACCATCCAACCACTGACCAGCTGTGGTGATGAGCGTGTGGAGAAGAAGTCAGCCACCTTGCTGCAAGTCTGGTCGACCCTCGAGGTTGGTTATCGCATTCCACGCATGAAGAGAGATCCCAATGCCATTACCCCAGCCGTTAATCAGTTCGGGCGGCGAGAGAACACTCGGGATGAGCGACGACGGTCAAAGTCTCGTTCTCGATCGAGGTCACGGTCCATAGAAGCCCCTCGCGGGCCAGCTGCTCAAACGCGAGGCGGACATGGCCAGAGAAATCCTCACCATCATGGCCCCCGACCCTTCCGTCGACAATTCAACCCCCTCCCGCCAGGATGGTTCCAAGCAGAGTCAAATGGGAGAACCTACTATTACTCCGCTCGCGGGGATACTACCTGGACACGACCGACAAAGGCCGCCCCTCAACCGCCGCCGGTCCCAAAGGAATCGAGAGACAAGGCATTGCAGGATATCATCGATGGTATCATGAACGCCAAGGAGAACACACCAAAGGAGAAGAGTGGAACTCCAGCTACACCACAAGCGTCTAGACCAACACCCGATACGAAGGATGGTCAAGAAAAGTGGAGGTCATATAGCGAGGAGAAGCGAAAGAAAATCTATGAGAACACGGTGAGTAGTACAGCGTTTGAGGGACAAGACACGAAAGACATGCAAGTACTGACGGTGAATAGCTCTATCCCCATGTCAAGTATGTGGTGGACAAGTTCAAGCACAAACTTCCGAAAGACGACTTGAAACGCTATGCCAAAGATGTGAGATGGGTGCTCTTATAGCTTCCACAGAAGAATAGTCGAGCTAACGAATTGCTGTCGACACAGGTGGCTAAGAAACTGGTAAATTCGGATTTCAAAAACAACCGTGTTGGGGACCCTACCAAGATCGATGACAAGCAGCAAAAGAAGGTGAAGAAATTCTGCAAAGAATTCTTTGACAAAGCTGTCGTTAAGCACCGCGCATACGAACAACGGAAAGCAGAGCGACAGTCGAAGGAGCCAGATTCGAAGCCCAATGACGCGGCAGCGGAGGCCGTCGAGGATGACGGTCTGGACGTAAAGATGTCTGACGATGAGGACGATCGGGTTCCAGCACAGGATGACGAGACGCCTACGACCATGACAGACGACGCGCAGGGCCTCTTGAAACGTAAGAGAGAAGATGAGCCAAGCACCGGTGATGGAAGCACAACCGAGTATACTACCCCGTCTTCGTCCAAACGACAGCGATCCTCCACGCCGCCCCCACCACCCCCTCCTCCCATGAGCCCTGGTAACGAGCAAGGCCAAAGTGGCGAAGATGGGAATATGAGGAGCGATGCAGATGAGCCTACTCCTGCGGACAAACAAGATCTTGGTTCTCCTCCGCCTCCTCCGCCACCTCCTCCCTACCCTGAGCAGGAGATGGATACCAACAACAATCATTTTAGCCCCGAAGATGGCGTGAAGGAGCTAAACCCGACACATATTGGCATCGAGGGACGGGTATAGCATGAGTAACCCCAGCCAGCTAGTGAGACCAAAGCTAGCCAGCTGATATCCCCACCATCCATTCCACCCCAAGGGGGGAGTTCCAGCATCGGGTCTGGTGTTCTAGGAGTTCGACTTGCCTTGATATGATATGACTAATTAGCTGCCATTTATTCTTAGCCCTCCTTCTATTATTTTTCCCCTTCTATATTCCCCAATACCTTAGCTTACGGGAATTCCGTCCGGAGAGCATCTGGTTCGTTTTGAATTGATCTGATCAGATCTGACTCGATTTGGCCGTTCATCTTATTCCTTGTGCCCTTCTTTCCCCTTGTGCTGTTTTATTCCTTACTATATTCTATTCATTCCCTTCCAGTTGGTCTTCTCGTCTGGGTTTTCTTTCGTTTCTCTTTTTTCTATATTTGCATTCCTATCCCCTTTTATTATCACTTTTCCTTGTTACAAACATGAATACCCCCAATTCGTACCCGCGATAGCTATGATGATTGCATACCTCCCGGTGTTAGAGGAGAGAGAGGGAGAAAGGAAAACAACAAAAAGTACTCAATCAACAAGGATATTTCATTTCTTCTTAGGTTTTGTTGACGAGAGAGTGAGGAAGTGAGGATAAGTAGGATTATGAAGTGTATTACTAAAAGCACATATCTATTCTTTTACCACTTCTAGATGCCCCCGTACGTAGTAGTAATTAAAGTGTAGTGCATACATGCGTGTACAATTGAATATCATCATCATCATCATCATCATCATCATCATCATCATCATCATCATCATCATCATCATCATCAGTTGAAACGATACTAATACTACCTAATCCCATAACTAGTAGTAGCCCATGCATCCAAAATGGCAGTTAGCATTCTCTCTTCCCTTACTTAGTCACCCATCCCCCTCAAGCAAACACCCATTTTGACTAAACTTACCTCATAGAAACATGGACAATCAATACAGAGAACCAACAAACCAGACACATGTGATTCCATACCGCATCATATCATAAAGAACCAAATAAAGAAACATCGATAGCTTTGTAAGTAATTAATTATACTATCCCAAACTCACCACCGTCAATAAGTAATGAAGTGAGCTAGTAAGAAGTTAGTAGGATATATGTACTCACTTCTCCCTCTTAAAAAACATGAGTATCCTTTCATTACTATGGTCACTATTACTATCAATAGAATATCTCAGGTGAGGTAATGTCTGTATGAACTGAAATATGTATGTATGTATGTATGTATTATGTATGTGTAGGTTAGTTCCATTTACACTACGAGGATGATATAAAGGAAGTTTTTTAAAGGAAGAGAATAGTGTCCAGTCAGTCCACACACACACACTTATACACCCCCGGATATTCTACCCATTCCATTCATTCATAGCACAATAAGGATATTCATGTATGTTCGAGAGAGGCAAAAAAAAAAAAGAAAACGTGAAAAAAGAAGTAAGGAAAAGGCGTAAAAGAAAAAGGATATTCCTCTAGTAGAAACTCTCCACGATACTCTCCTTGTTGGCGTTACCCATGCCAACACCACGGGGACCCATCTCACCCAGACGGAAAACGCTTTCAATCACACTCAATTCCGTGGCTGTCGTGTCCAGACCCGTGACAGCGAGCCAGTCGTTCACGACCATACCGGCACCGACGACGGGGCTACCGCGGTTGACACTACCAGCGACGAGGGGCACTTGCAGGAGGGAGGAAAGTTCATCCTGATCACGGATGGAGGTCTTGGGGTGGACGATACCACCTTGGTTGGAAAGGGCCATGTAGGAGCCAGTCAGGACGTTGTCGGCGACGGTTTGACGGAAGACTTCGACGCCGAGGACATCGGCGATGCTGTTGGTTTTGACATGTTAGCATGAGTGTGCAAAAATTGCATGTATGTGTATAAGGGTATCACGGGCATACATTTCTTCGGTTTCCCGCTCGAGATCCGGGTGGATCAGCGCGACATGGTCATTACAGCAGATGACGTTCCCCAGAGCCGATAGACGTTCCTCTATACGTTGAATCTTCACCGAATCGGGTAGTGTATTCCGGAGATGTTGAAGCTCTTGGTCTGTCGTGGTGGTGGGGACGAGGAGACCGTTGCGGTTTCTGATATGGGGCGAAAGATGGTCAGCGGATTTGATTACGGAGATCAAATTTGAGTCCGGGCCTAAACATACCCTGCCGTCAGACGGCCAACAATGCGGGTTCCGGCAATGGTTGCGTGGCAGATGGGGATGACATCTTGCAATTCGGCCTCGAATACACTAAATGGAGCGTTAATGGGACTGGCTTGTGGTTCTGGTAGAAACGGGTCTATATGCACCTGTAGAAGTTCTCGGAGGCGCCAATGGCAACAATAGCGTACGAGTTGGTGAGACGGGAGAAAACACCGACCCTAGAAAACAAATATGCATTAGTAAAGAACCCAGAAGCTGCGAGGTCTGGGCCGCATGGTCAAGCAGGCCAGCAGAAAATTCTCCGGGGTGCGTCTCACTCGTTGGAGTTCTCGAACTGCGCGCGGACGGCCATAATTCCTTCTGTCGGAGTCGGAGTGCTAGTTATGAAAATAGTGAAGATTGGAGAATTCTAGGTCTTCGCTTCGAAGGAGCGAGGGAGTTGATCGAGTGCCCGTGAAAGGGAAAGAGATCGCTGGGAGGAGAGAGAGATTCGAAGTGGTGAAGGCGGGGTGAGGGCGAGGCAGAGCCTGTCGGGAAGAGGCTCGTGGCGGGGAAAACGGCGAAAAAGGAACACAAAGTACTAGAACAGGACTTTGCGACTCGCAATTGACGAGAGACGGGACTCGATCAGGCAAAAGATGCAGGCAAATTAGAGAGCACAGCAGGGTCGTGAACCGCAGTGATGGAGGAAAAGCCCGAGGAAATAAAAAGCTTCGAGCGATAGCCCCGCCTATGGCACTAGTCCCAATCGGGGTGGAAGGCGGCGACCGGGCAGAACCAGTCATGAGTCAGCAATCAACATCAGTCATCATTTCCCCCCGTCGACTCATCGCCAGCAAGACATGAGCCATTATGATTCATCCTCCGGTGGGTCTAGATTCCCCAGTAACTACTAGACCCAGCCCCCTTTACATAGTTGCACCGCCGCAAAGTACGGTTCCCCACTCCAGGTGAGAAGAAGTGAGATCAAGAAAGATGAAGTCGGTAATTAAGAAAAAAAATTAGAAACCATATTTATGAAGTGAAGACCTTAACCACTCAACGCCTAAGGGGAATCCTCCGTAGCTAAATACATAACCATTCGCTTGGTAATCGAAATGAAAAAAAAAGGCCTTACATATCCCAACGAAGAAGTCTACTTCAAAACTCCGGGTGAGAATCCTAGCGCGAAAAGACAAATCAAGATAAGCCTGCGCGCACACTCATCCCCTTCCCGCTAAAAGGGGGGACGAGGCCCTGGGGGAGGTGGTGGAGGCGGCGGCGGATAATAAAGACTTGGGGGGTGATGTCCCGTCATAAAACCGGGTAGGGGAGGTCGATGAAAGTTGGACCCCGGCGGAGGAGGAAGGTGAGGAGGCCCTCCCATGGAGGCAAAAGGATCAGGCAAGCCGAGCTGTTCGTTGATCGGGGGAATCTGTTGCCCCGCCGGAAGAAGACGACGGGGCTGTTGTCTCTGGGGGGTGGGTGGAGGCAGCACAAATGGTCGAGTTTCGGCAGGGCCGTGGGCCAATGGCGGCTGTGCAGGCTGGGGCAGGAGGGCTCGATGAGTCGAGAGGCGTGGAGCAGCTTGTGACAGGGGAGGGCGCGGAGGCTCCGCCGCTGCAATATCTGCCAGGGCTGACAATGCTCGGGGACGCAAGTCAGGCAGCACCACCGGAGGACTGATCTCTGCCGGCACTGTGTTGCGAGGAACTTCAACAACCCCGGTCGCTTTCACCAACATATCGAGGATCTGTTCAGCGGTCATGCCCGCGAAGGGGCCTGCGTCCCGGATTTCCTTCATCTGCGGATCGATGTCGTCGCCCACCTTGGCCCGCTGAACGAAGTCATCCCAGCCAAAGTAAGCACGATCGTAGAGGGCTGCCCCAGAAGGATTCCGAACGTAGTTGGAGTTGAAGCCTCTGAACACTTCCCTGGCGGGTGGTACCACTCGTCCGCGCTCCGGCTCGGTTTCGGAATCATCAGTCTGCAGTGTAACGTTAGTAGCCATCTCTGGTTCCGAGCACCGGGGTTTTATACATACCTCAGTATGCTCATCATCTTCCGCGGCACGGCGGCCTTCGACAAAAGTCATATACGCCCCCTGACTGGCCAGCAAGTGCTCTTCTCGGATATTGCGGGCTTGGGCCTGTTGTTCATTAGTTGTCAGGAGCTCGTCTAATGAGAGGAATAAGCGTCATAACATACCCGATATCGCTCCTCAATGGCTTGCTTGTTAGCCTCAAATAGTCGGTGCTCCTGCGCCACCTTGAGTTCGTATTCCCGGCGTAAAACCTCCTTCCGTCCATTTAGTCTCTCCTTCAACTGCATATTGACTTCTTCAAACTCTGGCACGTTCTTATGCGCGTTCTTATCGCGGGCCAGCCGCTTCTCAGACTGCGTGGCTAGCACCGCCAGCGCCAGCCGCTGAGCCGCAGCCACTTTCTTGAAGGCCTTGTCCAACTCCCGTTGCCTGTCCCGCAGCTTCTGGGTAGCAGCACTTGGGGAAGGAGAGCGGTCAGGTTCCACATCGCTCGAGCGATCCAGCTGTCGACCGGTGCGACCACCACGACCACTGCGTGCGGCGCCTCGTCCTCGTTTGTTCACTGCGAAACGCGCTGAGCCGCGACTCCGTCCACCACGACCACGGCCTCGAGTCCGTCCACCACGAGTTGGCTTACCAGCCGTCGACTCCGTGGCTACCTCTGGCGTTGATCCTTCAATCTCTTCGGTCACCTGGCGAGAGTCGTAGTCAATTCTCGAGTCGGCCACGGCCTCAGCGGGGGACCGTGATGCCGGGTTACCACCAGTGCCATTTTGCAATTGCTGATCTAATGCGTGATCCAACTCGCCCTCTTCCACTTTAGGCTTCTTACTAGGGGATTCAGAGACACTCTCGCTCTCAGCCGCACCAGTATCTTCTGGTTGAGATGACGACTTTGGCTTCTCAGATGCCTCTGGACTTGGGGTGGTCGTTGCATTCTGACGATCAGCAGTCTCAAGGGCTGCTGGTTCAGTGACACCATCTTTGTCTTCATCAACAACGGTGCCCTTTGGTGACTCTTCCTTCGGAAAAAGATGAAGGTCTGGCACAATGCTCTGGGGCTCATCTTGCAGTGGCCTGGGTTGCTCGGCCGGTACAGGAGTGGACCTGTCTGGGGAAGGAGACTTGACCGCAGGAGCAGTAGAAGTAGCATTGTGAGTAGTGTCAATGATATTGTCAGCAAATTGCCGGCTTCTATTTCTCGTTCTGGTACTCGGGGCAGCATTCGTAGAAGGGCTTGGCTCTGGGAATTTCGGCACGATACCGTGATCGTTAGAACCATCTTCCGTTGATGCTGGATGCACATGCGCTCTGAGTCTCGCCGACTGTCTCGTAGTGCGAGGAGTCTCTTCAACCGTTGGCCCCCGCTTAACGCGCTTGTGCCGAGGGGTTTCTGGAACGGCTGTTACTGGCGTTTCAGGTTGGGAAGTGGCCAACTGGGCGCTTGCGCGAGTCCGAGTATTACGGGTTTCGCGAGCGGTGTTTTCACGGGCTACATTTTCACGCTGTGCAGTCTCACGGAGCGCCGCTTCGCGAGCTGCATTCTCCGCGGCAGTATTGGCTCGAGCAGCACGAGTGCTGAGCGTGATAATACGTGATGGGCGATTGGTGTTGTTTCTTAGATGACTGTTGCTGTTCCCAGGCGTAGCAGCAGTGTTGCTGGGAGCTCTAACATCATGTTGAGAGGCACGTGCATCTCGACTCGAGCGTAAACTCCGAGTCACCCGAACAGATGAAAAATCATCATTTGTGGAGTCTGGGGAGCCATAAGAATCTGCTGCGATAGCTGGAAGGGGGGTGAAAACTTACTAGTGGTGTTCTGGGAAGCCCCTGCGCCAGCGTGACCACCACCAGAGGATGTCGCTGAGGCTTGGGTAGCTTCAAGTTTACGCTTGACCCCCGCCATTGCTGTCCACTATCTAGATGAGAATTCGGTTAGAGTTAAGGATGCGTGAACGAGTCGAGCAAATGGGGTGGAGGAGCAATGGAAAGAAACAAGACGAATAACACAGTCAGATAGGAGGATCCACTTCTGGGAATCAACGTTTTAGGGGAAGACAGGAACAGACAATAAGGTTGTTGAGATGCAATCGTTGATGGAAACACAATGATAAGATGAGGCAAAAATGCAAGATCTTCAGGCAAGCAACACCAAAAGGGCAAGCAGTGGGTCACGCAAAGTAGATGAGAAAGCAGGAGAGAAAGAAAAATGAAAACAAGGAAAAGACGTATGTCAAGCAGAGCCCATTAAGATCAAGTAGGAACTGCAAGAAGATCAGGGAAGGGATGCAGGCATTAACTATCTTGAACAGTGAAAGGCCATGCTAAGCGACATGGGTTACGTGTGGAGTTGAGAAAGGGAATGGGAAAACGGTGAAAGAGCCAGGCGTATGGTACATTGGTTGGAATAAAGTTAAGGATGGGGATATGCTGGGAGGAAAGGACGCATCAGGAAGTACAGGGAAGAAAAGGGCGGAGGATGGCACCCAGGCAAAAGGCCGAGATGAGACGAGAGGTATGTGACGATGGAAACGTGCCGGAAGGATCGCTTCCCAAGGAAAAAGCTGGGGGTCGCGTGGTTGCGGGAAGGAGAGCAGAAACAGAAAAGTAAAACGGGGGGAACAATCGGGCAAGAAATGGGGGAGATGGGGGAGGGAAAAGGATGAGAACATACCTGGGGGGAGGGAATAAAAGAAAATTCCTCCTCGGAGCGTGGAACAGCAACGTGAAGGTAGGTAGAAGTAGTAGATTGATTGAGTGAATCCCCAGGCGGGAACGCGAGGGTAGTAAGTAGAGATGATAAGTAGTAGTAGAATGGAGATTGGAGAGGGAATGAAGTAAAAAGAGGTTCGGCCAAGTGGATCAAGTGAGCGAAGCAAGAAAAGCTACCCGCTGTTTGGTTGGTTGGTTGGCGGGCCTGGCAGAGAGAGACTGTCCAAGAGGGAGTGAGAAAGGAAGAGAGAAGAGAGAAGAGAGGAGAAGCCGGTACGAGGACGAACCTCGCCGGATGTAGAAGTAGTAAAAGTAGAAAGTAGTAGTTTAAAGGTTGGTTGGTTTAGTGAGGTAGCAACAGCAAGCAGAAACAGCAGCTCCAGCTTGTCGTCGTCGTAGTAGTAGTAGTGGCAGCAGCAACTACGGTCTACCAAAACGATCGATCCCCCAGCAATTGATGGAGCTCTCGGGTGGTTGATCCCAAAAGTTGATCTTCATGCGCGGACAGAGAAAGTCCGGTGATGTTTTGTAGAGCAGCGAAAGGGAAAAGAAAAGCCCAGGAAACGAAAAGGGAGGGAAAGACAATAGAAGGAGAAGGGAAAAAAATAACACCACCCCAAATGACACGCAAAAGGGAGTGTAAACTAACTATTGCCGTACCTTCGATGGTCGAGGAAGTGCGTTGCAAGGAAGGAGAACCAGGTTAAGAGGAAAACTTGAGAAGACCACCACCACAACAAGACAAGATTATGGAGAATCTTTTGAAGCTGATGGGCGATGAGTTCAGTTCAGTTCAAGCCAGTGTTAGTGTTAGTTGAACTAAAAAGACCGACGGCGAGGAATTTGACTGGGCCGTTTGGCTGTCCCGGCCGCTTGGAGTGGCGCAAAAGCAGGAGCCAGGGACCGACCACGCCGGCCCACGTTCCCAATATCCGAGTAGAAATTAGAAGATAGAAAGGAGAGATATAATAATTAAATCATCAAATCATAGTCAGATGGATCTCTAACCTAGCATGGCACAAAACAAATACGCAGAGGTTTATAATTTTTAAGTGGTTAAAAAAAAAAAATAAAAATAAATAAATAAAAAGGAGTTGAACGTGGAAAAGCCGAGCGACTGTCAAAAAAAGCTGGATGGAATGGGTCGGAAATACGTCGTAAAGTCGAGCAAGGCGTGTGGCCGTATAATCCCATCCCAGCCAATTCTGACCAACTAATCCGAGTAAGATCCAAGCACTAAAATCACCGCTAAGGGAATTTTGTCG